GGATTAGTCTGGCTATTGGAAAAGGATCTGGAGGACCCAATAAAACTCACAGGATTAGAGACGAACTTCTCTAATACAACGGTGGGTGAGTGATTTAATAATATTTTTTTTTGTGTGTCAGGAGCAACTTGAGAAACTGCAAGTCGCTTCTGGTATGAGATAATTGGCCGTCTGCAAGGACGTTGCCCAAGGGACATTACCCAGATCAGGGGTCCTCAAGCTAAGGCCTGGGGGCCAGATACGGCCCTCCAAGGTAATTTACCCAGCCCTCGCTCAGGGTCAACCTATGTCTGAAACGACTTGAAAACACACAACAACAACAACAACAACAACAATCCTATCTCATCAGCCAAAAGCAGGACTACACTTCCACTGAAATATTAATATGTTTATATTTGTTAACATTGGTCTTCATTTTAAATATTGCACTCTTTTAAAGTGGTTTTTTTTTTTTTTGCACTACAAATAAGATGTGAACACTGTGCATAGGAATTCATTCATGTTTTTTCAAATTATAATCCGGCCCTCCAACAGTTTGAGGGACTGTGACTTGGCCCTCTGTTTAAAAACTTTGAGGACCCCTGGCACAGATGTTTTGATGTTTTACCATCCTTGTGGGAGGCTTCTCTTGTGTCCCCGCGCTCTTCCCAGATTCGAACCTCCGACTTGTCAGTCTTCAGTTCTGCCGGCACAATGATTTAACCCATTGCAACACCAGGGGCTCCATTAATAATAATAATAATTATTATTATTATTATTATTATTATTATTATTGATGCCGCCATACCAGGTGACAGTCAAATTGATGAAAAACAACAGGAAACACTCAGCCGTTATCAGGACCTCAAAATCGAACTGCAAAGGCTCTGCCATAAACCAGTACAGGTGGTCACAGTGGTCATTGGCGCACTGGGTGCCATGCCAAAAGATCTCAGGCGGCATATGGAAACAATAAACATTGCCAAAATCATGATCTGTCAACTACAAAAGGCCACCTTACTTGGATCTGCGCATATTATTCGAAAATACATTCCATAGTCCTAAACGCTAGGGAAGTGTTCGACTTGTGATTTTATGATATGAAATCCAGCATATATATTTTGTTTAATGTGTCATACTGTGTTTTTGTGTCAGTAAAAAATATAATAAAACAATAATTAAAAAATAAGAATGAAGAGAGAGGCCATGAAGGCAGTTCCATCTTGCCTCCAGTGTCATCAGTTGGGACCCCCCCCTCCCCGCCTCCAGCACCAACCGCTGCTCTGAGATCAGAGTGAAGAGAGGGGCCAGGAAGGCAGTTCCATCTTGTCTCCAGCACTCTGTTTATAATATAATATAATATAATATAATATAATATAATATAATATAATATAATATAATATAATATAATATAATATAATATATTGTATATACATATAATATTGATAATATTATAATGTAATACAATATACTACTGCTAATAATAAAATGATATTATAATTATATATTTTATATTAAATGGAATAATACAAATAATATTACAGTATAATGTTATAGTACAATGTAACATATAATATTAATATTGTGCTATAATTTTTTTTGTCATGTCAGGAGCGACTTGAGAAATTGCAAGTCACTTCTGGCGTGAGAGAATTGGCCGTCTGCAAGGACGTTGCCCTGGGGACGCCAGGATGATTTGATGTTCTTATCATCCTTTTGGGAGGTTTCTCTCATGTCCCCGCATGAGTAGCTGAAGCTGATAGAGGGAGCTCATCCGCCTCTCCCCGGATTCGAACCTGCGACCTTGCCGGCACAGGGGTTTAACCGACTGCTATAATAATAATAATATATTGTATTGTACTGTCGAAGGCTTTCATGGCTGGAATCACTAGGTTCTTGTGGGTTTTTTCGAGCTATAGGGCCATGTTCGAGAGGCAGGAGAAATGCCTCTAGAACATGGCCCTATAGCCCGTAAAAACCCCCAAGAACATATTGCATTTACTTTTTACTTGTAAGCCACTCTGACTCCCCTTCGGGGTGAGAAGGGGGGCATATAAATGTCGTAAATAAATAAATAAACAAACAAACAAACATGGCCAACTCTAAACAATAACAAAAGGAGGACTTCATTCTCCTCCATTTAAAAAAAAATGGCCCATAGGGTTGCAGTAAGTTTGTCACGTTTTGATCCCTTTGAAGTATAGTGTTCCGTCGTTACTTTGCGGTTCGCTTTTCGCGGACTCGCTGTTTTGCGGGGTTTTGCCTCCCAGTTTATGAATGGTAACCGTTGCCCAGAGCGGCGTTCTAATCCTGCCTCCTGGCAATGATGGAGTGTGGAAGGGGGTCTCACCCTCACCTTCGGGAGAGAGGCTGCCAATTAAGAGAGATTGCAAAGAAAAGCAGAGATAGCTAGCAAAAGGAAGGTGCACAGTGCCTTTAAATCTCTCCTCACTTCTGCCTCTCCCTCGATTTTGCGGATTTTCACTTTTCGCGGGTGGTCCTGGAACGTAACACCCGTGATAAGTGAGAGCACACTGTAATTCAGGCTCCTGTCATTCAAACTTGAGAGGGTTTCCAGAAGACAGACAGAATTGTTTTACCCAGTTGGCAGATTATTCGTCATTCAGGCAACTGCAAAAAACGCAGCCGATTTTATCAAAACTCCGAAAGATAGGCTGAAGTTTGATGGAGGGGAGAGGAGAGAGGAAGCCTGAGAGGATAAGTCAACCTGAGAAAAAATGCTCCTTTCCCCATTTCTTAGGCCTCATAAATTCCAAAACAAATTGCTCTGTTTCACGGCACTTACAACTCCTGCTGAAGCAGCCAGAAGAGACTGTAAATCCCCCAAGAAATACAGATATTTTAGAAACCTAAAGGAATTCTATTGGCAATTACTGGTGGGAACAGCAGTGGCTCTTCCATCACAAGCCATTTCTCCTCTGTTCTCTTCTATCTATATAAATAAAAATTAAATGTTCTTGCCCTGCTTATCTGTCCGAACGTATCTCTCCTTACGAACCCTCTAGGAATTTAAGATATTCTGGGGAGGCCCTGCTCTCGGTCCTGCCATCTTCACAGGTCCGATTGGCGGGGATGAGGGATAGGGCCTTCTCAGCGGTGGCCCCTCGGTTGTGGAATGCCCTCCCCAGGGACATTAGATCAGCCCCCACCCTCTTAACGTTTCGCAAAAAAGTTAAAACCTGCCTATATGAGCAGACCGCCCCAAACACAGTGTAGCTATTAAACTCTGATCTCGGAACGGTTGGACAACGTGACTGGATAATGACTGGTAATGAAATGCGGAGGACTTATGGTTTTTATTGTGTTACTGATGTTAATTGTAATTAATTTTTTACCTGTGTTAAATGTTTCTAATGTTTAAATTATTTTTGTACTGTTGTGGGCATCAAATTGTGCCATTTTGTAAACCGCCGAGAGTCGCTCTCGGGCTGAGAACGGTGGTATAGAAGCATAGTAAATAAATGTTTGTTTGTGGTATTAACATAACTCAAAACCCAATGGGCAAATTGACACCAAATTTGGACACAATACACCTCTCAGGCCAACGATTGACAATCACTCATAAAAACACTGAAAAACACAGCAGAAGAGATTTTAAAAACCAAAAAACAAAAATATTACAACGCATGCGCAAAACTATATATATATATAGTCTGACTTGGCCACGGTAGTCCACGCTCTGGTTACATCCCGTTTAGACTACTGCAACGCTCTCTACGTGGGGTTGCCTTTGAAGACAGCTCGGAAGCTCCAACTAGTCCAACGCTCGGCAGCCATGATGTTAACAGGAGCGCAGGGAGCATACAACCCCCCTGTTGCGCCAACTCCACTGGCTACCGATCTGCTACCGGGCTGAATTCAAAGTGCTGGCGTTGGCCTTTAAAGCCCTAAACGGTTCCGGCCCAAGCTACCTATCCGACCGCATCTCTGCCTATGAACCCACCAGGACTTTGAGATCTTCCGGGGAGACCCTGCTCTCGATCCCGCCTGCTTCTCAAGCTCGGCTGGCGGGGACGAGAGATAGGGCCTTCTCGGTGGTGGCTCCTCGGCTGTGGAACGCCCTTCCTACGGACATTAGACTAGCACCATCTCTAATGGTATTCCGCAAAAAAGTGAAGACCTGGCTGTTTGAGCAGGCGTTTGAATAATTAGTGCAATGATTGGTTAATGAACACTGGAATGGAACAATGGATGACGAATCTGGAACATGTTTTTGATGACGAGACGACAGTGAATGGGTATTGTAGTGACTGTTTATTAATTGTGTAATGTGTTAGGTTGTTAACTGTTTCTATACTGTAGCACTGAATTTTTGCTGTTCGTATTTGTTGTGAACCGCTGTGAGTCGCCTTCGGGCTGAGAACAGCGGTATATAAGTAAGGTAAATAATAATTATATATATATATATATATATATATATATATATATATATATATGCAAATACACATATACACAAATATATGCACACACAAAAAACACATATACACAGACTGGCCCACAGCAACGCGTGGAAGGGGACAGCTAGTATACAATAAAAACAAAGCCCAATTAGTCTGGCCTTCTCCTCCAATGCAGTTAAACATCCCCATAAGGGCTGCTCGTGGCTGTGGATGCCCACACTGTGCAAACAGGAAAATCTGGAAGGCCTGCATCATGACTACAAGACAAAGTACAAGAATAATGGCCAGACCTTTTTGAAACCTCTCTGTGTAACAACAGGTTGCACAAAAACAATTCTAGAATTGCTAAAAGGCATTGTTTTAGACAGGATTAAACATCCTATGGTACTCTTCCAATGTTTTAAGTTACATACCGCGTAATCCTCTCTAAATCCTAGATGTCCAAAATCCCTCAATAAGGATGCCCATTGCTAGCTCAGACTTGAGAAGAAAAGGGGTTGTATTTGGCTGCAGCAACAGACATTTACACACAATAGAAAGCAATATGACTCCAGAGTGCCGGATTTGCCTCGTCAGAGAAGGGCCGCAAGAGCTACTTACGGTGCGTGACGCCAGCAAGCGTTTGATAGAAGGTGGGGGTGTCGCTGTCATCCGTGAGTGTAACATACACCCCGCCAGACAGCAACCAGCGGGAAAACGTGAAGGCCTCTTTGTTGCACAACAGCCAGCTTCGGAACTTCTCGTAGTTTACCTTTTCACCCTGCAGGAATAGAAAAAGGGAATGGGGAAAAGAAGAGAGAGTGAAGATATTTGATTTTGGGCTGTTGTAGGTTTTTCGGGCTGTATGGCCATGTTCGAGAAGCATTCTCTCCTGACGCTTCACCTGCATCTGTGGCAGGCGTCCTCAGAGGTGGCAAGCATCCCCATAACCTCTGAGGATGCTTGCACCAGATGCAGGTGAAATGTCAGGAGAGAATGTTTCTAGAACATGGCCATACAGCCCGAAAAACCTACAATAACCCAGTGATTCCGGCCATGAAAGTCTTCGACAATACATATTTGATTTTGCTAGCCAGCTTGACCAGTTACTCTTGGGGTCAATCTAGTAATAATAAATAATAATTGATTAGATGTCCTTTTTTGTTTCCTCTCTGTTGTTGTGCTGTTGTAATTGTAGATTATTTTAATACTGGTAGCCAGATTTTGTTCATTTTCATGGTTTCCTCCTTTCTGTTGAAATTGTCCACATGATTGTGTATTTCAGTGTCTTCTCTGGGCAATTTCAACAGAAATTACAACATCACAACAGAGAGAAAACAAACAAGGACATCTAATCACCTCTCAACAAAAGTTTGCTCTAGGCACTGTCAGGCCATTATATGCTAATCAAGGTGGTCAGTTGAAGCATTCACACCTAGCTCCAGCAGACAAGAGTCCTTTGTCTCACCCTGGTCATTCCACAGATATATAAACCCTTTTTCCTACTTCCAACAGACCTCACTACCTCTGAGGATGCTTGCCATAGATGCAGGCAAAACATCAGGAGAGAATGCCTCTAGACCATGGCTATATAGCCCGAAAAAATCTACAACAACCCAGTGATTCCGGCCATGAAAGCCTTCAACAATAGGATTGTTGTTCTTGTGTGTGCTGTCAAGCCGTTTCAGATTTAGGTTGACCCTGAAGGTAAAGGTAAAGGTAGTCCCCTGACATTAAGTCCAGTCATGTCTGACTCTGGGGTGTGGTGCTCATCTCCATTTCCCTCGGGGGTGAGAAGGGCGGGGTATAAGTAATTGAAATAATAAATAAATAATAAGCCGAAGAGCCAGCGTTGTCCGTCATGTGGCCGGCATGCCTGCATGGAGCGGCGTTACCTTCCCGCCGGAGCGGTACCAATTGATCTACTCACATTTGCATGTTTTCGAACTGCTAGGTTGGCAGAAGCTAGGGCTGACAGCGGAAGCTCACGCCGCTCCCCGGAATCGAACCTGCGACCTTTTGATCAACAAGCTCAGCAGCTCAGTGCTTTAGGCCAAATAAATTACCTTGGAGAGCCGTATCCGGCCCACGGGCCTTAGTTTGAGGACCCCTGCTATAGAAAGTGACAAAAACACCTCTGGGTAAACCCCCGAAACAGCGAGTCCACAATAAGCAAACCGCGAAATAGCGTGGGAACACTGTATAGGTGTTTTTAAGCATAATACCAATGAAGGGAGTGTCTTTCACCAGCCATTGGGCCTGGATGCAATGGAGACGGGTCTGGCCAGAGAAACGGCAGCCAGAATATGGAGGTACGCCTCTCCCCTGCCACTCGGACAAGATGCAAAGGTGCTGCAACTGACTGGTTTCCTCTTCTTTAGGGCACAAGGCCACACAGCAAGTGAGGAGATATCAGGGTGAGTTGCGGTCCAACATTTTCACACTGCCTACTTATGATTCTTGCCATCAGTAACCTGCCTGTATGAATTGATTATGCCGGAGAATTCTTCAGCGGGCTTGAAATCTATGAGCGCTGCATGATGAACCCTTTGGTAAATAAGCACTCTCTGAGCTCTGAATTAATGGCGCTTGGATATTACTTTTATTGACTCGCCGAGCGGTACTCTTTCAAAGACATTTCTTTGCTCAACGGGTAATCACACAGCAGGGCTGGAGCTCAAATATTCCCCCCATCTTTGCTCTTTTTTTTTCAAAATTAATCCCTCTTTCATTATGCATTACATGGCTAGGGCTCACATTTGTTTTCCTTCTCCCCTCTTGGCCCCTTTCCTTCACTTTGGATGGAGCTTCAACAGTGGCTGGTACTTCTTTGGTGCTGAAAAGTGTTTGGAATCTATGCTGCACTGCAGTTTTATCTTTTGACTAGCTGTACCTGCCATAGGTTGCTGTGGCCAACCTTCCCTCCCTCTTTCTTTCTTTTTTTCTTTCACTCCTTCCTTCCCTCCCTTTCCTTCCTTGCCCTCTTCTTCTTTTCCTTCCTCTTTCTCTCCTTTCTTCCTTCTCTACCTCTTTCTTTCCATGTTCCTTTGCTCTTTGGTTCCAGCCTTCCTTCTCTCTTTCCTTCCTTCCTTCCGTCTTCTTTCTCTCCTTTCTTACTTCTCTACCTCTTTCTTTCCTTTGTTCCTTTGCTTTTTGGTTCCAGCCTTCCTTTACTCTTTCTTTCCATCCTTCCTCCCTTCTTCTTTCCTGCTTTTTTTCCTTCTCTGCCTCTTTCTTTCCTTCATTCCTTTGCTCTTTGGTTCCAGCTTTCCTTCTCTTTTTCTTTCCTTCCTCCCTCCCTTCTTCTTTCCCCGCTTTCTTCCTTCTCTACCTCTTTCTTTCCTTCGTTTATTTTAGAGCATTGAAGACCACCTTGGTTGCATCCTCTAAAAAAGGCAAGATAAAGAGGATGAAAATGAAATCAAAGGCATGACTCTAAGAAAAGTGAATTCTACAGCCGAAGCTACATCCTTAGTCCTTAAGGAACTGCAGACTTCGTGAACGGCTCTTTGCTTGTTGCCCCGGGTTTCCCAGCGAATCAATACATCTGTAGGGACCGAAGCCTGAATGCGGCAATCGCAAGATGTTGAGAGGCTCCGTTCCCATCATCTGCTTGTTTCAAATTTGCTGATGTGAATTAGGATTGGAAAAACAACAACAAAAACCCTTCTTTCTCCACGCAGCCGACAAAGTGGCACTCACGGCATCTCCTAATGGCTTATTTGGCCGCGAAGGTGAGAGTGCTCCCGATCGGTGTTCATAACAACAGGACGGCCGATAAGATGCGAGAAAGCAACAGACAGAGCTGCGAAAGGGATTAAAATTCTCGCTCTCGTCTAGAGGGCTTGCAAGAGACACCGAGAGAGGGAGAGAGACTCTCTCCTCAGTAGAGAGTGAAAAGAATTTTAATGAGTCGTAGCCTTGAGCCGGCGACAGGCATCCAAAGTGTGAAAGACAGCGACCTGCACGAGCTTGAGCCCAATGGGGATTTTGTGCTTCTGTCCATGCCTCCCATTGAGAAAGATCGAGGGGTGGATTTAGTCCCCTTTTCCAAGAGCAGAACAGCTTTACAAGAGTGAAGAAGGGCAGCCAGGAAGACAGATATCCACCATGTCTCCTGGGTCATCGGCTGGGAGCCTCTTCCCCCAGCAACAATACTACATCTGCCTGCCACCTCAGGAGGAGAAGGAAATCCTGCTGCTTCTCCCCCCCCCCCAAGCCAGCTAAGAGGAAGGAAGGGGACTGAGGAAGAGACTTTAAAAAAAACCTGTCCCCTGGCTGTTGCTTACTACATCCGCCTGCCACCTCAGGAGGAGAAGGAGGAAATCCTGCTGCTTCCCGCCTCCCAAGCCAGCTAAGAGGAGGAAGGGGACTGAGGAAGAGACTTTAAAAACCCCTGTCTCCTGGCTGTTGCTTACTACATCTGCCTGCCACCTCAGGAGGAGAAGGAGGAAATCCTGCTGCTACTCTTCCCACACCCAAGCCAGCTAAGAGGAGGGACTGAGGAAGAGACTTTAAAAACACCTGTCTCCTGGCTGTTGCTTACTACATCGGCCTGCCACCTCAGAAGGAGAAGAAGGAAATCCTGCTGCTTCCCCCCCCCCGCCCTGCCCTCAAGCCAGCTAAGAGGAGAAAAAGGGACTGAGGAAGAGACTTTAAAAAGCTTACCACATCTTCCTGCCACCTCAAGAGGAGAAGGAAGAAATCCTGCTGCTACTCTCCCTCTATCAAGCCAGCTAAGAGGAGGAAGGGGACTGAGGAAGAGACTTTAAAAACACCTGTCTCCTGGCTGTTGCTTACTACATCTGCCTGCCACCTCAGAAGGAGAAGAGGGAAATCCTGCTGCTTCCCCCCCCCCCCCCGCCCTGCCCTCAAGCCAGCTAAGAGGAGAAAAAGGGACTGAGGAAGAGACTTTAAAAAGCTTACCACATCTTCCTGCCACCTCAAGAGGAGAAGGAAGAAATCCTGCTGCTACTCTCCCTCTATCAAGCCAGCTAAGAGGAGGAAGGGGACTGAGGAAGAGACTTTAAAAACACCTCTCTCCTGGATGTTGCTTACTACATCTGCCTGCCACCTCAGGAGGAGAAGGAGGAAATCCTGCTGCTTCTCCCTCCGCCCTCAAGCCAGCTAAGAGAAGGAAGGGGACTGAGGAAGAGACATTAAAAACACCTGTCTCCTGGCTGTTGCTTACTACATCTGCCTGCCACCTCAGGAGGAGAAGGAGGAAATCCTGCTGCTACTCCCCCCCCAAGCCAGCTAAGAGGAGGAAGGGGACTGAGGAAGATACTTTAAAAACACCTGTCTCCTGGCTGTTGCTTACTACCCTGCCACCTCAGGAGGAGGAGGAGGAAATCCTGCTGCTACTCTCCCCCTCCCAAGCCAGCTAAGAGGAGGAAGGGGACTGAGGAAGAGACTTTAAAAACACCTGTCTCCTGGCTGTTGCTTATTATTTCTGTTGTGGTTTTATGTTGTATTTAATGTTTTTATGTGCGTTTTGATATTATGTATATTACTTGTTGCCTGTAAACCACCTTGAGTCGCCGAAAGGCCGAGAAAGGCGGTATACAAATACAGTATATATATATATATATATTTATACACACACACACACATACACGCATGCACACACATATAATGTATTATATTATTAGCATAGTACAATATCAGTATTATATATTACTATATTGTACTATTCCATTATATTGTAATATTATTAGTAATATTACATGTAATATAAAATATATAATTATAATATATTATTATTATATTGTATTACATTACGATATTATAAATATTATATGTATATACAATGTATTACATTACATTATAACAGCGAATCCACAAAAAGCAAACCGGGAAGGAGCAAGCAAACACTAATAATTTTCCCCAAAGTTGCCTCCTATGAGTGTCATCTCTCTCCCACTTTCAGCAAGTCAGAGCAGGAGCACATACCTCAGAGAAACATTTCTTGAGAGACTCTGGGACCCTCCCGTCAACCATAAGGAGCATCTTCTCCATCTCTTCGTGGACAACATAGCTCCCAGATTCATTGGAGAACAAGCTGAAAATATCTAGGCATAAAATAAGAAGCAAAGAGACCCACAGTTACAACTCGACACCTTCAAACCACAGTTTTGTCAAAGCCAATTAATTTCTACAACCTTACAGCTACATCTAAATTTAACTTTCTAACTGAGTCTTTACTAGACAGCAAGCAAGGACCAAATGTATTAAGACAGGTTGAGCATTATCTCAACATCCAAAATTGTTTGCCAGGGTGGTTGGGCTCATTCATTACAGCATTGCTTTCTGATAGTTTGATAAACGCCAATGTTTTTTGTGCACAACGTTACTGAAAATATTGTATAAAAGAAACTTCCTGTTTATAAGGTATCTATGATACATAGTAAGTAAAAAAATGCACTGGTGTTATTGTAGATCTGAGGAGGTCAGAGGCAGATCTTCAGCATGCTAGTCATACTGTGATAATAACTATAAGAGTGTCTGTTTAGTAGGGTTGGATAGGTTCGTTCGGAAGAGGCTGAAAGTCGAAAAAACTTCCGAATTTTGACTTTTAAAGCAGTTTTGAACCATGCAGGGAATGTGTGTGTGTGGGGAGGGGGGAGGTCCAAATTTGAACGACTTACCTTTTTTTCGGAAATATTCCATAATGTTCAGATGTCTCCCAAGGTTATTTTAATTTTCACAACCATTAAACAACTTTGGTAAAGCCTAAAAAGTTTTTAAATCTCATGCTTTCCCTCCCCTGGTGATGCAAGGGAGGGATGAGGTGGGCGTGGCTAAGCACAACCATTTTTAGTATTTAATGTTTTGATTTTATACTGTTGTGTTGCTTATTTACATTGGTTCTGCATTTTATGTTATTTTATTTCTTGATTTTTGTTGTGTTTTTGTGTTATATTCTGTTTATTGTATTGATGGGTGTGGGCTAAATGTAAGCCGCCCCGAGTCCCCTTGGGGAGATGGTGGCGGGGTACAAATAACGTTTATTATTGTTGTTGTAGTTGTAGTTTGTTACAGACAGCTATAGGGGTCCTTCAGCCATTTTGGCTAATGAGCAGCCGGGCAGTGTGGGAAATGTGTTTGTGAAGGCCAGGCCCCCAATGGTAGAAATTGCAAAAGGTCCTGCTGTTAAACTACATTTCCCACACTGCCTTGCTGTTCATTAGCCAAAATGGCTGAAGGACCCCTATAGCTGTCTGTAGCAGTCTTTGTCTAAATATAAAATAAACTGATTGAATCTACAAAGGTGTCTAAAGAAGGCAGCAAAGCAATAAGCAACTTTTGCAAAGCCAAGAGAACATAAACTGCTTAAAAAGCAATCATTTCACTTTGGCTTGACTGCCATGAACAAGGTCCTGGGGTAGCCAGCCACAAGCAGCCAGCCCTTGACGTCAGTAAGTAATGATAAAATAAAATGATTGATTGCATCTGCAAAAAGGAATAAACGGATGAATGTGTCTTAAGGGTCCCCTCCAACTCAGTAGAGGAAGCGAATGGACGTCAGGAGAGTTTGGATGGTGCCTTTCTGCTCAGAAGAAGGGGGTCAGTCTAGATGTCCCTTGATGGAGTTTGTACTATGATTTCTGTTCTCCACCAATTCTACACAGTTTCCACACAAACAAAATTTCTGGAGTAGAACAACTACTTTCAAAGTAAAGACCACCAATGAAACAGGAAATAACACTTTCAAACCAGGAACAGATTTTCTTTATTATTTAAAAATGTTTTTTATAAAAACTGAACATTCACCAAAAATCCATGGATAAGTCAACGGTTATGAAATTTGGTGAGCTAACAGTAGACCATGTGTTCTACCACAGTGGCAAGTTTCATCAGGATTGGTCTAAAAATGAAGGAGGGAGAATCCCCAGAAGCTTCCCCAGTGCTAGCGCTGTTTTTTTCCTACTGCGCATGCACGTCTGCCATTAACAAAGCAAAATTTTGGAAGTTTTGGAAAGTTTGGATTTTTTGAAAAATCGGAAGTGACTTTAAAATCGAACCACCAGTGCCAACTACATCCGAAACGAGTTTTGAACCTTTTTTTGTGGCTCAACTGAGGTTACTGTTAAGGGACATCAATCTGAAAAAAATCAAGATGGAGGTAATATAATACTTTCAATGCATGCATAGATACAGATGGCACTTACATTTTGCTTTCTCTTCATCTCGACCCCTTGTCAGGAGGACTAATCCCACAATCAAGTTATTGAAGTGTAGGCCTTTGGACATGCCGCCAAAAGAGCAGTAGATAACCTGGAAGTTGGAAAACAACATTCTGATTAAGTTAAGGACTGGGCCCTTGTCCTTGACAATCATACATTTTCAGCAAATGCTTTGAAGTGCACAGGATTTCGCCTGCAAAGGATTAAAGTGGAGGCGAGGGACCATGCCATCAGACAGTATCCACTGTATATGTTTGCATTACTTGGCTATTAAATCGGGCTGACTTTGCTGGAGGGAAAAGTGGCAGGCTTCAAACACAGGCCCGGGTCCATGTTGTGGAAGAAAACACAGGCACACCCTGAGGGAATATTTTGGGGTCCTTTGGTTGCTGAGGGGTGTTGGCTTCTCCGAAAACGAAAATAGCAACAGCCCAGAGCCAAGAGGTTAAAAGGTAAAGGTTTCCCCCTGACATTAAGTCAGGTTGTGTCCGACTCTGGGACTCTGGTGCTCATCTCCATTTCTAAGCCAAAGAGCCGGCATTGTCCGTAGACACCTGCAAGGTTATCTAGCCATGGGCATGACTGCACGGAACGCCATTACCTTCCCACCAGAGTAGTACCTATTGATCTACTCACATTTGCATGTTTTGGAACTGCTAAGTTGGCAGAAGCTGGGGCTAACAGCAGGAGCTCACCCCGCTCCCCGGATTCAAACCAGCGACCTTTAAATCAGCAAGTTCAGTGAGTATATTTACAAGATTCACATTCAACCTCATGCTATAGCAGAGCAGAAAGATCACCAACTCCCAATCTGGCAGTTGGTGCCAGACTGGGTTGTGTAATATAGCATCCAGATTCAGGGAAGTCATAGTACCATTCTATTCCCCTTTGGGCAGATTTTATGTGGAACATTAAGTCCAATCTGGGCATCAGAAGGATACATAAAGCCCTAAACGGTTCTGGCCCTACTTACCTCTCCAAACGCACCTATGAACCGACTAGGACATTAAGATCGTCTGGGGAGGCCCTGCTCTCGGTCCCGCCTGCATCGCAGGCGCGGTTGGCGGGGACGAGGGACAGGGCCTTCTCGGTGGTGGCCCCTCGGCTGTGGAATGCCCTACCTGTGGACATCAGACAGGCCCCTTCACTGCTGGCATTCCGGAGGAAGGTCAAGACTTGGCTTTACGAACAAGCGTTTGGCTAAATAGTGCAATGAATACATGAAGATGGTACAACCGAACATAGGAATTGGTATAGGATTATGATTACGGATTCTGATTTGTTTGCTGAGGCTTATGATAATGATTGTTTTTGATCTGTATATCTTGTATAATGTGTTTTTAATTGTCTTCTTTGATATTGTTATGATAACCTTTACTATGTAAACCGCCTTGAGTCGCCATTCCGGCTGAGAAAGGCGGTATAGAAGTAAAGCAAATAAATAAATAAATAAATAAATACAGATAAGCTGGAACGTGGGACCGGGCTGTGGTGCAGCTACTTAGTAGCCAGCTGCATTAAATCACTACTGACTGAGAGGTCATGAGTTTGAAGCCAGCTTGGGTCAGAGTGAGCTCCCGACCATTAATAGTCTAGCTAGCTGTCAGCCTATGCAGCCCGAAAGACAGTTGTATCTGTCAAGTAGGAAATTTAGGTACCGCTTTATGCGGGGAGGCTAATTTATCATATACTAGCTGTACCCGCCACGCGTTGCTGTGGCCAACCTTCTCCCTATCTCCCCTTCTTTCCCTCCTTCCTTCACTCCCTGTTTCCTTCCTTCCTTCCCGTCTTTCCTTCTCTCCTTCCTTCCTTCTCTTTCGCTTTCCTTCCTTCCCCCTTCTTCTTTCTCTTGTGGTGTCTCTCTTTTCTTCCTTCTCTCTTTCCTCCTTTCTTTCCCTCCCTCTTTCTCTACATTTTATCCCCTTCCTTCGCTCCCTCTTTCCTTCCTTCTTCCTTTTTCTCTTCTGCAGTCTCTCTTTTCTTCCTTCTCTCTTTCCATCTTTCCTTCCCTCCCTCTTTCTCTACATCTTCCCCCCTTCCTTCGCTCCTTCTTTCCTTCCTTCTTTCCCTTTTTTCTTTCCTTCTCTCCTTCCTTCTTTCTCTAACTTTCCTTCCTCCCCCTTTTTCTTTCCCTCCCTCTTTCTCTCCTTTCTTCCTTTTCTACCTCATTCCTTCCTTCTTTCTTTCCCTCCCTCCTTCTCTCCTTTCCTTCCTCCCCCCTTTTTCTTTCCCTCCCTCTTTCTTTCCTTTCTTCCTTTTCTACCTCATTCCTTCCTTCCTTCTTTCTTTCCCTCCCTCTTTCTCTCCTTTCAGGGGTGATTTGAATGCAATATTCCTGCTTCTTGGCAGAATGGGGTTGGACTGGATGGCCCATGAGGTCTCTTCCAACTCTTTGATTCTATGATTCTATGATTCTTCCTTGACAGATTAGAAGGGGGCGTGGCTTGGAGGTAATGTGAGGAGGGGGGATGGGTTTAGAAGGGGGCGTGGCTTGGGGGTAACGTGAGGAGGGAGGAGGGGAGGGGGGATGGGTTTAGAAGGGGGCGTGGCTTGGAGGTAACGTGAGGAGGGGGGGGGGGTGTAGAAGGGGGCGTGGCTTGGGGGTAAGGTGAGGAGGGGAGGGGGGATGGGTTTAGAAGGGGGCGTGGCTTGGAGGTAACGTGAGGAGGGAGGAGGGATGGGTTTAGAAGGGGCGTGGCTTGGGGGTAAGGTGGGAGGAGGGGAGGGGGGATGGGTTTAGAAGGGGCGTGGCTTGGGGGTAAGGTGAGGAGGGGAGGGGGGATGGGTTTAGAAGGGGGCGTGGCTTGGAGGTAACGTGAGGAGGGTAGAGGGAGGGGGGATGGGTTTAGAAGGGGGCGTGGCTTGGAGGTAACGTGAGGAGGGGATGGGTTTAGAAGGGGCGTGGCTTGGAGGTAACGTGAGGAGGGAGGAGGGGAGGGGGGATGGGTTTAGAAGGGGCGTGGCTTGGGGGTAAGGTGAGGAGGGAGGAGGGGAGGGGGGATGGGTTTAGAAGGGGGCGTGGCTTGGGGGTAACGTGGGGAGGGAGGAGGGGAGGGGGGATGGGTTTAGAAGGGGGCGTGGCTTGGGGGTAACGTGAGGAGGGGGGGGGATGGGTTTAGAAGAGGGCGTGGCTTGGGGGTAACGTGAGGAGGGAGGAGGGGAGGGGGGATGGGTTTAGAAGGGGGCGTGGCTTGGGGGTAACGTGAGGAGGGAGGAGGGGAGGGGGGATGGGTTTTGACAGATTAGAAGGGGGCGTGGCTTGGAGGTAACATGAGGAGGGTAGAGGGAGGAGGGGAGGGGGGATGGGGGCGCACGCGTGTGGAGTGCGCGTGGGGGGAGGAGGGGCGCGCGCGCGTGGTGTGCCGCCGGGTGGGAGAGGGGGCACGCGCGTGTGTGTGTGTGCCGCGCCGGGGGGGGAGGGGCCGTGCGCGCGCGCGTGTGTGTGCCGCGCCGGGGGGGAGGGGGAGGGGCCATGTGTGTGCGCGCGCCAGGGAGTTTGCGCCAGTGCGCATGCTCAGTTGTTTTGCCGTTTTTTGTGGTTGTTGTTGTGTGGTTTTGATTTCTGAGTGGATTAGTTTGTACCTAGTGGGTTGTCCTTGGGGCATGGCAATTTTGGTAGAGTTTTGTGGAGGGGTTTTAGAGTTTTGCTTCCCCGTTGGACGCCAGTAGGAAATTTATATATATATAGAGTAAAAGCCGACCCGAATATAAGCCGAGGCACCTAATTTTACCACAAAAAAACTGGGAAAACATATTGACTCGAGTATAAGCCAAGGGTGGGAAATGCAGCTACTACATGTAAATTTCAATATATATATATATATATACCAATAAAATTGTATTAATTGAGGCATCAGGAGGTGAATTTTTTTTAATATTTACATAAAACTGCAATTTGAGATAAGACTGCCCAACTCTGATTAAATCATTACATATCTTCAATGTAAATGTACTTACGTATCCTTCCAACAATAATAGAGTAAAATATTAAATATAATTATTTCTGTTATTATCGTATTCCATTATTTTACTTTATCATTATTATAATAATTAAATATAATTATTATAATAATAAAGTAAAATAATGGAAATACAATAATAACAGAAATAATAGAGTAGAATAATACATGTAATAATAGAGTAAAATAATAAATGCAATAATAATAATAATAATAATAATAATAATAATAATAGGATAAAATATTGTAAATGTAGTAATAATAAAGAGAGTAAAATAATACATGAAATAAAAGTAATACTAATAACAGAGTAAAATAATAAATAACCTTGACTCGAGTGTAAGCCGAGGGGAGCTTTTTCAGCCTAAAAAAGGGGCTGAAATGCTAGGCTTATACTCTAGTATATACAGTAACTAATTTACGATGCCATAAAACCTTCCAGCAGTGTGCAGAAGAATGAGGAAGTACTCCATCAAGGAGTCACAAGTGGACGGTGAAGCGGCAGCTCCCCCTGTGGCCAGAATCGAGCATACCCTCATGAAGCTGGAAAGCTGGAATGTTAAATTGCCTCTGTGTCTCTGTCTATATATGTTGTATGTCTAAATGGCATTGAATGTTTGCCATGTATATGTGCATTGTAATCCGCCCTGAGTCCCCTGCGGGGTGAGAAGGGCAGAATATAAATACTGTCAATAAATACTGTAAATAAATAAATTTTTGCAAGTGATTTCTTTGATGATCTGGCGACTGTTTGACAGTGTCCAGAGAAGGGAGAACCCAATGATCAAAAGTCTATACACAATGTTTTATGAGAAACGTGGTAGGGAGATGGGTGCTGGAGGCTGTATTTCAGAGGAATTGGCCAAACCACCTCTGAGAATTCCCTGCCTTTGAAAACCTTATGAAACTCATGGAGTTGACGTAAGTTTGACGGGCAGAAGAAAAGCACATAATTGCAGAATAACACTATAGGGTCAATATAGGAACAGAGCTACAACTGTATTTGTTTTAGTTTTTTTTTTTTAAAGCTGCCGGACATCCCAGGTCACTAGACAGTTGTGAAAAATTTAAGGAATGATCATGCGGTAGAAATGTGATTCCTATCAATCCGCAACAGCTTCCCGTTTAAAGC